ATTTTCACAGTTCCCTCTATAATTTTGAATATTAAAATATAAACATGGGTATTGCTTAAATATCCTTGATTTGGCCACAATGTCTTTTTATAGCATTAAAATATATGTTTTAAGTTTAGAGATTCTGGGATATATAAATGAAATACAGCTCTTATACTTCCTTTTCTAAAAAAAAAAACCTGCAGGGTAATATTTTAAACAATTGATGAGATAATGTATATATAATAATAGTAAATGATTTTAAAGCAGTTGCCTGTTCAGATACTGTATCTATATCTATATCTATATCTATATCTATATATATATATATTCACTTTTGTAATTCTCAAATTTATTGCTGTAATAAATCCAGTGATTGGGGAAAAAGAGGCACAGAGTCGTCTATTAATTCATCTGTAACTAAGTGGCAGAGCTGATAATCAAGCCAGGATGCCTCTGCTCTTAACCCCTGCACCATGATGCTTCCTCCCACATGCACACTATGTGCTCAGTCAGTGGAGGAACAGTGTTACTTCCTTACATTGAAGAAGAATATGTTGACTAAAATATCTGTAGTTACCCGCTGACTTTGGGATAGTAAAGTGTTCAGCTTATTGAAGAAGTCTTTATCTTAAATTGAAAGGTCTAATTTATTTATTACACCAAAGCATGCCAATTTATATCCTTTTCTTTAAAATAATACATTGAATCAGAATGTTTGATTCACTAAATCACCAACATTTACTATATCTCTAATATCACATTTTATAGTTAGCTGTGACACAGTAACTAAACCTAGATGTCTCAGGGTCTTTACCCATAAATGCTTGAAAATGCAGAGACAAAACTTTACTTGAAACTAATGGAAAATAGCTGAAGATATTATTCTCAATTATTAATTGAAATAAAATCACTGTGAGCTATAGAACACTAATAGCAAATACTCTGAACTATCAGATATGTGTGTGAGTGTGTATGTATATAATTGCTTCATGGAGAAATCTTTAAGTTCACTAACTACTATCTGAAAATCTGGTTCTCTATACATACTAGAAATGACATAAATGAATAATTACATTTATAAACTATGGGATCTAGTCTTAGAAATCTTCACTCATGCCTATATCTGGCTTATTTTTTAATTTTCTGAAAAATAGCTATAAATTCAGGGGTAAGGTGATCAAAGCTATAAAATAGCTGCAGTAGTCACAAAGTTCATTTATTAAAAATTTATACATGCTACTCACCTAGAGCTTGTTATCATGTTTAGTGGTCTGCTTCGTATTTCAAAATATCAAATGAGAAAGGAAAATAAAGTCTTTTAGGTGTGCATAGATGCCTACCACTAATAGTGCTTAGCTCAGTGTCTCCTACTACAGTTGACATCCTGTGAATATGTGTTGACTAAAGAGGCACTAGGAAAAGAGAAATCAAGTAGAGAAGCAGGATTGCACAAGTCTATGATTGCTTACTATAGAACCAATACTACATTTTACAGTTCTTTAGCATTGCTTTATAGTATTTGATGCTTATAATAATATGTCCTTGTTAATTAAGGTTAACTCATGTTCTGAATACTATGTTTAGAAATGCAAACAGCAATAGGCATATGGAAAAATGTTCAACGTCATTTATTATCAGAGAAATGCAAATTAAAAACTACAAGGAGATACAGTCTCACACCTGTGAGAATGGTCCTTATTAAAAGAACTGGAAATAAGTGCTGGCAAGGGTGTGGTGGAAAAGGAACCCTCTTACTATGCTGGTGGGAATGTAAGTTAGTCCAGCCATTAATGAAAGTTGTGTGGAGGTTCATGAACACACTGGAAATAAGTCCACCATGTGACTCAGTTATTGCAATCCTAGGAATCTATGCAATGGACACAAAAACACTAATTTAAAGGGAAACCTGCACTCCTATGCTTATTGCAGCACTATTCACAATAGCCAAGATATGGAAACAATTAAATGCCCCCAAATAGATGAGTGAATCAAGATGTGGTATATGTATACAATGGGATACTACTCAGCAATCAGAAAAGGTAAAGTCATGCTATTTGTAGCAACAGGAAGCTGGAAGGGATTATGTTAAGCAAGTAAGTCAGAAGGAAAATGATAAATACTAAATGGTTTCACTTACAAGTGGAATATAGAGAAACCAAACAAAGGTTCAGGAAAAGGAATAAAACGTGGGAGCTGATCATTGATCTGAGGTATCCAGGAGGAGAGGGGAAGGGGTAAAAACAGGAAGGGAGAACATGAGAGAATATAGTGAGGATCACGGTTGCTATGGTGTTGGGAGAACTAGGGACTATACCTGGAGGGAGAAAGCAAATACTGTACAACAATTAATAACAATGTAAGACAAAAAAGCACTTCACCTAAAATTAAATTCAAGTTTTAAATAAAATAATTCACCAGTTTTTAAAAATAAAAAGTTAATGAAACTTAAGCAGTGAAAATGCAAAAAAATGAAAAATGATTCAAACTTTGGAAAATAAATATTTTTAAAAACACTCAAATACAACGTAGAATTCTCTAAGCAAGTATAAATATTGTGGTTTGGGGCACACACAGTACAACTGTGTGGAGGGATGGAGAAAGGGAAAAGACTAAAGGCTATTGATTTTGAAACAAAGAACTTGTTAAGTTTTAGTTCTTTGACTGCAGATCCCCTATTGTATTCTACTTGGTAATCCTTATCTAAACCCAAAGCTGTGCTTATTCAAAGCACCAAATAATAACCAAGAAACATTTTTGAGTGTGTTTTAAAAAATGTAAAAATAAATCACAGCGAATAAAATACCAATAAAAAACCACATTTGTTTCTATTTATGATTGAGTGACTATACTATGTGCACAGAAATTTCTAATGGGCACAATTCTCAAACCACTTGTGTAATGGGAGCCTCACCAGTTAGGTTTGTAATGGATAAAGATGCTTTGAAAACAGATCAGGCAATGTAGAGGTTTCTGTATAATCATGTTTTATATAATCATGGTTTTGATTGCAGAATTTCATTGGCTTTTTCCACTGGGTTTAAATAAGGGAGGATGTATACAAGGAGCACACCACATTTTTCTTTTTGCCTCATATTCCCACATGGCTCAGCATGGAACTTTTGAACACTTTTCCTAATATATAGCTAAAAATTGATGTTTATTGAATGAACGAATGATTAAATGAATTAATGTGGTCATTTCCTTTTCCAAATATGTATTACTAATATTTGGTGTTTCTGCATTTCATATTTTTTTTCTTGCAGCTTAACTTATGACCTTTATCTGACATTATTCCTCAAAATCATAAGGGCAGTTTTAAGGATGTGATTAGGGATACATGGATGCTAAAGGAAGGCTGTTGTAAAATTTCATGAATAATTCATTAGTAGGAGATATTTTTAATAATAATTTACCAAAATTACTGAAGTCTTATTTTTCTACTTCCGTTACTACTAGAATCTTATCCTAGAGTCTTCTCTAGTTTCTTCTTAATCCTCTTTAAAGTTTATTTTTCACATTCAATCTAGTTAAACATACTAAATAATCAGATATCAGTATTGATTTAGATTTGAGACATTCTAAATTGCCATCTGTTCTTTTCTTAATTGTTGCCTTCCATTATTCTCAAGTTTATTTTTCACTTATTTTGTATGTACCCCTGTTAGGGATCATGTATGTTTAAAATTGCGTACTTCTTAACATTTTCTGTAATATCTAGCAAATCAGGGCACACTAGTCATTATTTAAATATAAGTATCTTAATAATAATGACATTGCAATTTAACCTTCCCACTGCTTTGATCACACACCCTTTCTAATACCCCACTGGTATAATACTGATTTTTACAACCAACATAGTTTCTTCTTTCGCCATTTAAATCTTCAGTCATTGTTTTGTTAGACATCGATGTTGTGAAGAGAGACTTGGATATATTATTTATCCTTTTTACAACTAATATTTGAAAAAAATGGTGAAATTTGACATAGGACACTTTCATCTGAGAATCAGTTCATATACATGCATATAATATGGTCAGGATGCATTTTTTGAGTTTTGGAAATATGTGGAATGTTGATTTTGTAAGTAATTAAGGAACAATTTTTCTATCATCTATTTATGATTCTATTTTTAATTTTTTTACAAGAATATTTTACTTGATCCTCAAATCATCTATTTGTTGGGACCAGTTCACCTGCTGGTCCATATACACATAACTCATGCTTTACCATCATAGACTGATGTGACACAGTGTAATAGAAAATGATGCATTGCCTGAATTTAAAGAAACATGGACTATTTCTGGATCTGCCGTGCAGCATGAGATCTGTATCACATTTGAAACAAAGCTAACCAAGCAGACAGAGCAGAAAGATATCTATAGTATCCATTAATCAGGGCAAGGGTGTGTGTGTGTGTATATATATATATAATTTTTTTTCAGCATCTTACCCTATTTGCTTGCTATATTTTAAGCTTGAAACACAGAGCAAAAAATATCCTTAGTGACCATTCATATTACTTCTTATACAATTGTCCTTAGAGGAACATCCCTGAGAAAAGCTAAAGTAAATTGAAGTTCCTTGAAAATTGTTAAACAGGTTGTATAATACATATTCCTTTATCCCAACCTTTCTCACTGGGGAACCATTAAATATTCAGCAATGTATGCATTTTGATCTATGTAAATAAATGATTATTAGCACTAAGTACTAATATACTATCTACTGTTTAAAGCCAATTAAGTTCAAAATAATTTAAAGCATGTTGTTTTTTAAAAATCCAAGTATCAAATTGCTTTAGGTTTAAACTAAAGAGAGTAAATTAGATCATAAAATCAACTAAAGGAGGTATTTTCACCATTACAGAAAAACCTTCAGTTTGGTGAGTCTTTAGAAACTCTTTGAGGCAGAACTGCCTCATATGTTTTAAAGAAGGCAACTTACATTTCTCTCCACTGTGAAGAATATTAAGCACTTTCAAGTTCTTTTCACATAGGTTTACCTTTTCTTTCTTACAGGATTTCAACATCTAAAATCCTTGAAGTTGAGCCACCGTTTCTTTTCCTCCATTCGAATTACTTATGCACCCAGGTGCAGAGAGGTAAGAACTAACTTGGATCAGACTGGCACATATGTTTTCCCCAGCTGGACACCCATTATAGAAGAAGCAAATTGGTTGTAACCTTACTGGAATTAGGCATTTATGTCACAAATCCATCCTTATCAAAAACTTCATTAATGTTTTTCTTTTCATTTGAACTTCTCCTCTTCTGTATTATCCATATGCCTGCCATGCCTACATTCCTCTGGGGTAATTATTCCTAGGCCTTCTGGTTACCGACAAAATGTCTTATCAATGGTATTTAAGTGATTTCAGTTACTAAGTACATATAGTTTACCCCCAAAGCTTATTTCCATCCCTGGTCTAGTCAAATCTTCATAGCTGCATTGAGATCCTTAGAAGACTGCCAAATGTGTTATACCATATATAAATCTTCCATCCTGAAGCAATCATTCATTTACCACTCAATAGTTCTTTTTATCTTCAATACTACTTTTCCAACTGCTGGCCTGTGCAACATAAGTAGAAACCTGGAGATGGGAAGGAGGAAAATATGGTTGGGGGGTAATATTCAGTAGTTATATGATCTGCCCACTCAACATGATCCTTCAGAGCCATTCTGTAAATGGCATTTAATAATTTTCCCTATATTTCCAGTTTAACTCCCCATTCTCTGTCTCAGCTGTAGTGAGCCCAGTTCTGGTTCTATTCACATTTATTCTCTATCCTCATGCTTTCTTTTTTTATTTTATTTATATTTTACATCGTTCTTCCTTTTTGTACAATGTATGCTTTCTCCTCTCAGATGTAGTCCCTGTAAAATTCCCACCACCAATTCACCCAAACACCATCACCATAGTCCATTGTTCTCTTTACTCCCCTGTTTGATCCCTCTTTCTCCCCCTACCCTGCAGAATATCTCTGATTCATAATTGACCATTAATTTTGTTTTTCAATATATAATAATTTTTTCCCTGATCCTTTATTTGGTTTCCCTATATTCCTTCAATGTGAAACCATCCAATATTTTTCTTTTTCTTTGTGTCTTATTTTACTGAGCATAATCCATTCCAGCTCCATGAAGGTTGCTGCAAGTGGCATGAATTTATCTTTTTTTTTTGATTGCTGAATGATATTCCATTATGCATATATATCACATATTCTTGATTCAGTCATCTATTTTTGAGCATTTGGGTTGTTTCCATAGCTTACCTATTGTAAATAGTGCTGCAGTAAACACAGGGGTGCAGGTATCCTTTTGAATTAATGTTTTTGTGTCCTTTGGGTAGATTCCTAGGAGTGGAATTGCTGGGTCATATGGAAGCTCCATTTTTATTATTTGAGGGTCCTCCCCACAGCTTTCCATAATGTAGGAGAGTTCCTTTTTCTCCACATCCTTGCCAACATTTGTTATTTCATGTTTTGTTTTTTTTTTAACATGGGCCATTCTCCCTGGTGTAAGGTGGTATCTTATTGTGGTTTTGATTTGTATTTCCCTGACTACAAGTGATGTTGAACATTTTTCATATACTCATATACTTTTCATGCTACAATCTGTTTTAGGCACAAAGGTTAAAATAATCTCTCATAACTGTTTCCTTTTTTCTTTCTGTATCAGAACAACAGTCTTTCATCCTCTTCCATCATGTTCATTTTGTTTCTTTTAAAGATTTATTTATTTATTTATACAAGCACTGGGCACAGTCAGAAGCGCGGGAGGGTGAGAGAATTCACCAGAGCCAGAGTGGGAAACAGAACAGGAAGACTGATGAAATACACTGCTGAGGGGAGCAGCAGGCATGGCAGGAGAGGTCTGCATGCCATGTGGGACCCTCGCTGGCATCTGGGAATTGAACCGGCGCTGCAGAGGCTGCGGGCAGCTTGGCAACCCAGCGCTCAACTGCTGCGCCACCGGGGAGGCCCTCCATCATGTTCATTTTATCTCAACTATATTTTTCTTAATATACTCCATGAACAGTTAATTCAAGTCAAAATAATCTGTTGCTTGCAGAGAAATTGGAAATCAGAAATGAGAATATTTGAAATGAGAAGATCTCAGCTTTCTTTCCATTTTCCCTGCCACTTCCCTTTCATTTCTTTCCCTAGCTCTTCTTTTATTCCTCTCTTTTTACTTTCATTCACTGAATACTTATTAAATACTATGCAGGTTATATTTATTAAATACTATTATTATATGTTATTATTATTATTATACTTATTAAATACTATTAATGCTTATTAAATACTATACTTTGGTCATTAGAAGATAAATCATCACAGTTCCACTTCAAGGCAGGGAAATAACTAGTATCCACTTGATAGTGGGCTATTGTCTTTGTTTCATATAGGAGGAAACTAAGGTTGATAAATACATAGTAAACAGAAGTAACAGTGCTAAGAACAAATAGATCATGAATTCAAAACTATGCCTTTCCAAATCCAGAAACCATATATCTACCCAAAAAATCATTTGAAAATCATATCCAGAGAATTTGGTGTATTGGGGGAGAGAGATGGACACAAGTGAATTTAAGGTAATGAACCAAAACCAGTATGCGTAGAGGCAGAGATTGGACAGTGAGCTTCAATGGGGTAAGACTGGAGGGATAGGGAAGATTGCGAAATGTTTCACTTTATGACCCAAATTAAATAAGTTAGTTTTTGATGCTGTGAGCAATGGGAAACTGCAGAAGTGCTTTAACTTAGGTAATGAAAGGATTAAGTTTACCCTCTGGAAAGTGGCTTTGAGATTACAATGAATTTTAATGGGCTAATCATACAATTAAGTCTGTGAGTTAAGGTGATGTGATTCAAGAAATACTTGTATTTAAGATATAGAATGGTAGAATTTCCTGGTAGCTTGGTATATGGATTATGTGATAGGAGATTTCTTTGATAACCCTGAGGTCTCTGCCTGCCATACTGGGTAGAAACCATGTTTGAACTAGGATGGGATGGAGAGGAGAAATGTTAATTGAATTCATGTGGAATTAATGAGGCCAAAGGCAATATAAAATAAGTAGAGGCCTAGGTCCAAGTTGTGAAGAGCTGCAGTTTTGGCAGCTAGATAGTAGGGGATGATCTTAGAAAAAGAACAATGAAAAGAGAAGAAGAAAACAGACAATATGTCAAGAGACTCAAGTGAATTAAGAAGAAAGATTTTTAAGACGGAGTAGTAAACAACATTATTTGCTGTTAAAATTAATACTGAAAATGTCCATCAGATTAATTAACTGAAGATCATTGTTGACCTTTAGCAAGGAGTTACAGAAGTAAAAGGAATGGATAAAGTTAGGAAACAGAGTCTCAAAGAGCAAGGATGCTCAGGGTCTCTCTGGTGGCCTAGGGATTATATCTCAGTGCTATCACTGCTATGGCCTGAGTTCAATCTCCAATCAGGGAGCTAACGTAAATATATAGCACAGCAGACCACTCCTATCTCCCCTACTGCTCCCCTTAGCAGTGTATTCCAATAGATCTGTCTGTTCTACTCCTCACTCTCCCTGGTGAATGCTCTCAGCACAACCCCCACCCTGCATCTCTGCCCTATACCCCAGTTCTATGAAAAAAAAAAAAAAAAAAAAAAAAGCAAGGTTGTTTCTTTAGAGAAGTATCTCTGCTGATAAAGATTTCAGAGGTCTTAGTTTGTTGGCCCTGTTTATTTAACATCTTTTTGAAAGATATTTCCATAATTTGAGAATGTAGTTCTAATTTTTTCATGTTTTCTTTAACTACATATATTTTAAATTAGTTTTAATTCAGTTTTCAATCACTATATTTTAAGATACTTAAAAGGACAAAACTCTACCTCTAATTATTTTATATCCATTTATAATTTTCTTCCAATGCCATAGACTTACAGGTATTAATCAATCAATCATCATTTTTATCACTCACATACTATGCATAATACAGCTTTTCCTTGTGTCAGAAGTTCTCTATCTGAATTTCATTTATTTTTTTGTTTTCATTTAAATGATAACCTTAAAATAGTCATTAATCATGTTTTAGAGTATGATTGAGTACCAAGTTCTACCATGAAATTTTAGTATCCATATTTGCATTTTTAATTTGCAATTCATTTGTTTAAGTATGAAGTCATGGTAGGTATGAACAATTTCTGCACTGATTCAAATGGAAAAATTGGGAAAAACTGAATTTTCATATGTTCGTGGAGTACAAGTCTCTGGATTAGAGAAGGCTGTTGTGTGCTAATGGAATCAAATTTAGTTAAATAACAGATAAAAGTAAGTAGATACATCTGTATATGTTCCAAGATTTAAAATAGAAAGTAAAGTAATGAACACTCAATGAAATATTATTTCTCATTCTAAAGTTTAGTATTAGATTGGCTACTTATTTAATAATGAGCTTAATAACACTATTACAAACATTTTGGTTAAGGGAAAATGCAACTTTAAATAGCTATCAAATAATACCTTATTAAAATTGTCAGTCATGCAACACTTATGTCACTAATACAGCTTTCTCTGCACAGCACATAATGTGAACAGGGATTAAAATTCTAAACTCAAAATACAAAGTTACATATGAAATATGGAATGGAACCTGTATCTACTTTTTTCTATAATTAACTCAACATTAGATCTTGACAATGGATATACAGGAATGTATATTGTTGCAGTCCAGAGAGCTCAGAGCAGTCAGTGGGCTGTGATGTCATTAATGACTTCAAGGAGGAAAGGGAACTTGACTTGATCTTTGCTATGATTGAATGTTTGTGCCCCCCAAACCCTCCCTAATTTGTATGTTGAAACCTAAGTGCAATGCAATGGTTGGAACTTTGAGAGAAACTTATATCTTTAGGGTGGAGCTCTTATGAATGGGATTATTACTCTTATAAAGGAGACCTCGGAGAGTTAGCTTGTTTATTCTGCCATATGAGGGCGCAGAAAAAAGACATAGGTTTGGAAGTGACTGTTAATAGTGAACCAGTCTGCTGAATATCTTGATTTTTCACTTTCCAGTCTCCGTAACTAAAAGAAATAAAGCTCCATTGTTGTGTGCTACCCAGTCTA